GGAAAGAGTCTTTATTAGATGTGGAAGTTCTCTTTTATTTGTTTTTATTTGTTGGTGAAGTTCTGTTCTGGCAAAATGATACCCTTTATTAGGATAACTGAAACAAAAATAGCACAGAAAACATAAAGATTCACATAATGTAGTTTAGGAAAGGATCTGGACACAGGTTTTTTCTTAATTGAAGTATAGTTGATTTACAATGTTGTGTTAATTTCTGCTGTACAGCAGAGTGATTCAGTTATACATATATATATTCTTTTTCATGCCTTTTCCATTATGGTTTATCACAGGATATTGAATATAGTTCCCTGTGCTATACAGTAGGACCTTGTTGTTTATCCATCCTATATATACTAGTTTGCATCTGCTAACCCCAAACTCCCACTCCATCCCTCCCCCACCCCCCTCCCCCTTGGCAACCACATTTCTGTTCTCTATGTCAGGACACAGCTTTTGATTGTAGGCACTGTAAACTATATGATATCCTTGACCCCATGCCATGTATGCTAGTATCACAGTCATCAGATTAGCATGTGGTTGGCATCTTTGGAAAGCTTGGGATCTTCTCAAGATGCAAAAATTTGGAGCTTAAAAAATTTTATAAGGCTATACTGAAACATTAGAAGGATGGAATGGCAATGGTATTTTTAAAATAAAATTATTATTATATATTTTAAGCTTACCAAATTTTGTTATTAATGTTACTTTGTTTCTCCCCCCTCTCTTCTTCTCTCTCTCCTCTCTTTCTCCCTACCTTCATCTCCAACTCTTGCCTTCTCTTTTTTTTTTTTTTTTTTTCCTTGCGTTATGCGGGCCTCTCACTGTTGTGGCCTCTCCCGTTGCGGAGCACAGGCTCCGGACGCGCAGGCTCAGCGGCCATGGCTCACGGGCCCAGCCGCTCCGCGGCATGTGGGATCCTCCCGAAACGGGGCACGAACCCGCGTCTCCTGCATCGGCAGGCAGACTCCCAAGCACTGCGCCACCAGGGAAGCCCTGCCTTCTCTTTTTTTAAAGTGACTTTTTAACTGAGATGAGTGCAAATTTACATGCAGTTTTAAGATGCAATATGGAGACATTCCTCGTATATAGTGCCTAGTTTTCCCCAGTGGTAACGTTTTGGAAAACTATATGTAAGATCACAACCAGGATATTGACACTGATACAATGCACTAATTTTACTCACATTTCCTCAATTTTGTTTGTGCTTACGTGTGTATGTGCATGTGTGTGGGTATTCAGTTCTGTGGAATTTTATCACCTGTGTAGGTTGGGGTATTTGAATATTATCAAATGCGCTTTCTACACCTATTGAAATAATCAGATTTTTTTCTTTATTCTGTTATAATGTGGTGAGTTGCGTTACCAGGGTTTTCCCCCTGAACCCCAGTTTTATTGAGATATAACTGACATATAACATTGTATAAGTGTAAATACAACATAAGGATTTGATATTTGTATATATTGAGAAATGATCATCACAATAAGTTTGGTTAACATTGATCATCTCACATAGTTACAAACAAATTTTTTTTCTGGTGATGAGAACTATAAAAATCTACTATCTTAGTAACTTTCAAATATACAAGGCAGTATTGTTGACTATGGTCATCTTGCTGTACATCTCATCCCTGGAATGTATTGATATTTATCTTATAATTGGACATTTGTATCTTTGAACCACCTTCATTACTAGAGATTTCTAACTTTAATAATCTCTGCACTCCTGGAATAACTCTGCTCTCTCTCTATACCAAGTCTTAAACTCCTCTATTTCCCAGTTCATATCTTGGAGAATATAATTGTGGTTGAACCTGTACAAGTTTGCCTTGGTGGAGCTTTCCATGCTGGGTTGTCTCAAAGGCTATTGGCAGCCTGTAGATTAGGCTCTCTGGGTTGGAAGTCCACTCCTGTTTCACTCATCTCTGGTGGGTAGTTGCGCGGGTACACGTGTGCGATGCGATGGAAAATAGGATTGCTTAGGGCTAGGCTATCATTGGGGCTCTGGGTGTCGCATGTACTGTAATTGTCTCATTATTACCACATGTATCTATGACGGTGTCTCCGCCATTCCTATGGGTACTATAATAGTATTTTTTAAAGTATACTTGTCCTTTTACTAGTGAACCTGGTGGAAACCTAATCTATTCTGATGCATCATCTTTTACCTTTTTTTTTTTTTTTTTTTTTTTCCTAAAAAATTTAATTAAAAAAATTTTTTTTTTTTTAAAAAAATAAAAAATCCAACC